TGCAGTTTGTTGTGAGAAATGTCCAGAAACTTTAAGCTTATCATGGACTTGAAAGACGTGGACGCCACAGCTCTGATGCGATTACTAGTAATCCTGAGCTCGGTGAGGTTGCTCAAACCATTAAAAAGATCCTCTCTGAGTTCAACAAGTTTATTATTATTTAGATTTAACTTCTTGAGGGAAATCAGATTGGCAAAGGCGCCGCCATCTATCTGCGAAATGAAGTTGCGATTTAGTTCTAATTTTGTCAAAACTGGTAGATTTTTGAAATCTGATATTTGTACTCTTGAAATTTTGTTTGCAGACAAGTCAAAACCCTCTACTGTCGAGGGAATATCTCGAGGAACAGCTCTGAGTTTATTCTGGGCGCATATGGCAATATTGTAACTGATTTTGCAATTCTTCATTGCAAATCCTCTGACTGGAACAACAAAACTGCTGATATTCAACAAGCAGAGAAAAATTATGAGTTGAAATTGTTTTCTTCCTCCTGTTGCCGTTGTTTCATTCTCTTTCACTCCAGGACCCATTTTTAAAGTCTCTGTTAAAAAGAACAAGTGAAGTACAACCAATAAGGCATTGCAATTTCTCAGTGATTACTCCCATCAGTGAATAAAAACTGCAAAAAGCAATGCTGAAATTCAATAAAAACAGACAAATAAAGGCCAACAGAGGCAGTAATACACAATAAATACAGAAAATTTACAACACTACAATAAATGATCACCATATAAGATGTGAGCTCAGTCAGCCTCCTTAATATTATTAGAAATGCAATTTAAAAATGTCATTGTTGTCTTACTTTCTTCTACCTTTCCTCTAAAATCCCTTTTTATTTTATTTGTGACAAAATGAAAACAACATTGCAATTACCCGGTAAATCACAGGCTGCATTTTAAAGCATTACCAAATAAACCAAAGAGTTAGAATCATCCTCGTGAGCATATGGCAAATAATATTTTCTGATACTTACCGCGTCGCACAAAGAAAAGCTGCTTAATCACTGATCTGATATCAACAGAATCTTGTAGTTTAACTTTATATAGTTTAACTTTTTTATCTTCCTTTGTTCGAATAAAATGTCAGTCTACATACCACCCAGTGTGTTCGTCTTGCTGTGTGGCTTAAACATCTTTCATCTGCAAGTCATCACTTTACTCATTTTCATACATCAACTGAAGGAAGTGAGAGTTGCTCGCTGTTTGAGATGTTTTTTTTTTCCGATTCCTGAGTTCGTTTTTGTTTGGGATTCATCTTGTTTAGTTTTGTCATGATGCTCAATTCACAGTCATTATCATTTTTTACATACATTAATGCATTTCTGTAAATACTTATGGTCAATTATACTACATGGTTATGTAGATTTTTGGTCTGGCCTTTATTCTCTTCTTTTATTTTCTCTTTATGTGTCATACCACGAAGCTGTGGTTATTTTCATTTCCTCTGAAAAGTCCAGTGATGACTTCTGCAATCTAGCAAAGAGACAGTCCTCTAATAGCCATACACGTCCTCTTCTTCGCGGACTTCTAGATACTGGACCTGCACACCAAGATAAAATATAGACACAAAAAGTATACTTCATTAACTCTCTACAGTTTGTATGCATCAGTGAATATACTGAGCATGCTTTACTTATAATAAGTAACTTTATTTAAATATCATTTATAGAAACCCGATTGACAATAATGATGTCGTGCTTTCACAGAGTATTTAATTTATTTATTTAGAGCAGCGGTTCTTCATCTTTTTAGGAGTGCAGAAATGATCTCTGTCTATACAACACAATTGAAAACCCAAACATAGGCTACATGACCATTCATGTACACTGGGCAAGCATGAGCCAGTGTAAACAGCGTAAATCAGCAGTTTGTTAGTTGCACAAATTGATTAGATAGATAGATAGATAGATAGATAGATAGATAGATTCTTTATTTTCACGACCAAATTAAGTTTGGCAGAGATCCTCTTCGCAGCATAAGTTAAAGATAATTACAGACTAAAATTGCCAGAAAAGAGGAACAACAAACTGTGCAACAGCTGCTGACAAAGATATCAAGGTTAGTTACACTTGTCATTCATCATTCTTGTTGCTTTCACCACTGTTGAGGCTGATAAGACCGTATCAGGGAGCGACCATGGGTGTCTACGACATTCTCACGAAAGGTCCTTCGTTTTTGCCTGCCCAAACTACAATGCAACCCCGGAGTTTTCAGACTAAAACGGGGTCAGCAACTATTCCAAAAGTTTCCGTTTTAGGCACTTGAAATCCAGAGTAGTGTGGACAACAGATGTAAGCGTGGCAAAAGAGATGCGTTATAAAACATAAACGTAGCGTGAACCAGAATAGTAACGTTTTAGGCCAGAGGACCAAAACAATATCTGAAAGATGCTAAAATAATTTGTAGAGTTGAGTTATAGAATGATAATTCTCTGTGGTTTGATCACTACAAGCATCACCTTTCACTTATCATTCTAAAATGATCCATTTTAAATATCAAATATCGATTATAGGAACTTTAAGTATTGGATTTGAATTTCATGCTTTCTTGTCTCTTTTTTCTGCTTGACAAGGAAGCTTTTTGTCTTTGGTCCTTCTGAAATCCCAAGAACGTTCTTTTAGTTTTTCAGAACAGTAGCCTATGAGCTCCAGCAACTTTTAAAAATCCAGAAATCTCTGCATGTCAAGTCTTTACTGAGTATATAGTATTATTACCACTTACTGTATGTCTTTAACCCTGTAAAACCCAGACATAGAAAAAAATGAGCAAAAACTTTTTTCACCTTCCAGATGTTGTTGTAGGAGGCATCTGATGCACAAATAAAAGTGTTTTAGAATTTTTTACATTTTGGTAAGTTTTTAGGAAAACGTAATATTGCAACGTTGGGCCTCGGTGGGAGCAGAATTTCTGTATTTGTACTCACATTGTCTGAACATATATACAGAACAACTCAGGCTTCATTTGCAGGATTGACTGCCTGTTTAGCCCCATAATAGTATACATTAGATGCAGACGGAGTTTTAAATGCTGCTGTGTCAGGTGCACAAGCCATTGTAGCCAGCACAAAGACCCAGTGTTGTAAAATTGCAACACAGACACAACAAGCTCAAAATCAAATTTGATGAATGATTTCCACAATAACTTAACATCTACATGTTTGAGACATTGTAATGAACACACACAAAAAAAAAATATTTCAGGTAATTTACTTACTTGAATCTTGCCAAATCCAGTCCAGTGAAAACAAGGAGATGAGCTCAGAGAAAAGTTTGCAGGTAGTGTGAGTTCATGGTCAGATGGCCAGACCTATAAACATGTATTCTATCCAATAGCATTGTGAGGATAAACAATAAAACCCATTGTCTATGAAAACATTCAGAGATCTTTTTTTTTAGGAAGGTTAAATGTGACATTGTAATATTAATATATATATAATATTAATATAAAGATATAAATATAAAGATATAAATATAAAGAAT